CCCCCCCTCCCTGCCTTTTCGCCGCGAAAAAAAAATCATTTGCTGATAGCATTGTTCTAATAGTGTGAAAAGCATTTTCTCAGACCCAGACCTTTACTTTAGTTGTTAAATAAAGGGAATTTCTGACAGTGACTTGATGCGGCTGTGTTGAACATTACCATAAATTTAATCCGTTTTCAGCTTACTCTCTGGCAATCCTCGAAAGAGACAGTTAAGAGTTTTTCCTTCTATCATTTTAAGTTTCTTTTTTTCTAGCTTCATCCCGAGCAAAAAAACCTCACAGCAGATCAACCTTCATTGAATGTTGAAGTGGATCAGCCTTCACAAAATGCTACAGTGGAACGCTTCCCCTCTCGCAGAGAAAGTGAAATGGTAAGTGAGTGCCACTTTCTTCTTCAGTATTTACAAAAATTATCTATACGCATTGGTATGTGTGCCTACAGGAAAGTAAACGACTGTTCGGATGACTCCAAAAGAGTCGCACATACACAGAACAGACGGTGGGTACAAACTGGATACGTGGAACTCAGGATCGAAGGGCCTGGCGTAGCTGCGTTCGATGTGTGGGAGCATACTAGTAACATAATTGACAGGGAATACATGTACTGATAGCCCGAGTCAGAGGCGAATCCAGGAATGGGGGAAGGGGAGGGGGAGGGGGTTTGGAAGGCGAAACGTCTTTCGCTCCCCTCCCCTAGCGGCACAGGCACTAGTGCTGCAAAAGCCCGGGTCTAAATTTTTAATTTTGTAATACTGCTGGATAGATTGTAATAGAATTGTAATGCTGCTACTTAGAGTTGCTTTAGTTTAAAAGTTACTTTAGGCTTCAGTCTAGTTAAAACTAAGGTAAAGCATAAAGTAACTCTTAAACTAAAGCAACTCTAAGTAGCTGTATTACAATTCTATCTCTAGTTTTGTACAGGCCCAAAATGGGAAGGGACTCTCCTTCCCACTTCCCCCCACCCAACCCCCTTCTCTCCCCAACAGCAACCCCGCTCTCTTCTCCAGCTCCCGTCGTCCCACCTCTTCCCCTTCCTACCTTAGGAGTCCGTCCTGGAATTGCCTATGGCTCGAACAGTCTTGGTATTCTTGGAATTTGCAAAAATAATTAGAAAAATTAATTTACAAGTTGGTGCTTACAAATGGAATCTGTATGTATTCCAGAATGCTGCCAGCGAAGTGCTAGTGCAGGATGACGATTTCACGAATTTTCTACATAGCTTTAATTGGACCGACGCCGAGCAAGGACGTCAAAAAGAGCTTTTAACAGTTAATTGGGTTATGGAACATCATGCAGGATTTGGCTGGATAACAAGAGTTTTGTACGGGACTGGAAGCAAAAATTCAAGCGATGAAAATTGCTCTGAACAACAAATTCCATCTGAGAAAGCTGAATTGAAGCATGGTGATAATAACGATGACAATGAAATTAAACAGCATCACACTGGTCTCGAAAAGCCGAAAAATGAAGGTTTGGTTCAGCAAGAAGTTGAAGAAGCTGGCCAAGATTTATTGAAACAGTGGAGAACATTTAGCTTTTAAAACGTTTTGATATTACAGGAATATTCAGTTTATATGTTTTTTTTAAACAGCAAAAATATGAAGGTGCAGGTGTTTTATTAATTGCTTATGTTACTTTTCTTGGGAATCAGCAAAGCTGAATAAACTTTCCGATGTTATTGAATCAACAAAGCTCTACAAAACAACAATAAATTCTGACAGCACTGACATTAAAAAAATGCTAGCTGCGAGAAAAGTACAGTTTAGCGACGGTACTCCTTTTTTTCGAGCATTTTTTTTCATCAAATTTTCAAAACCATGCGTCAAAGAAGAGTGACGAAGGCCCTTCGTCACACACATTCCTTTTACCAAGGCAACGTCAAGATTTCTGGGAAGTCTTCCAGTATATAAAAACCAAGGCTACGACAAATGACAGGCCACTGTCATGCGGACAATAAATAGCTCCTGCTCCAGATAATTATGTGAGCATATATTATTTTAAAGAGGTTTTTACAGCAGAACTTGGCCGCTAAAAAAATTTGCCCCACAGTTTGACATATGCAGAACATTTCTTAGACGAATATCAATAAAATGCTGTGATTCGATTTCCCCATGTTTTACATTGCCTATGTGCAATTAGGAGAGCCTTATCGACTAAAATTATCATCATGACTGTGTAAAAATTAGATTTCAAATGAGGAACAACAGCAAGAAACAAACGTCATGCATAGCGCTGGAGTAAACTGTGAATGATATAAAAATACGCATTTACCTGAATAATTAATCCAAAAATCGCACTGGAACAGTTGATGCGCTCACGGATATTTCCACCGTTTCCCGCAGTAATAATGCTATTACCAAAAACCGTTTCATGTTTTAATATGTTTACTCATGTTGTAAAAGTTATCGGGAGTGATCTATCGGCTGAGCTGATGGTACTGCGCTGGGGGAGTCTTAATATTTAGTCGTTTGACATGATTTATAACAGTAAGAGGGGAATACCGAAGTTTAGCAAGCGGGACTTTGAAAGACGTGCGAATTCATAGAGAAGACTGAATGTTCGAGAGTATGTGCCTGCACCATGTGCGACCCTCTTTTTTTGACATCATCATCCGCGTACGCCTTCCCATATGGGGACGCATTAAAAAAAATATGCAAATTTTTTCGCGAGAAAGCGATCTCGGAAGCTAGAATGGATAGAGAGATGAAACTTTGCAGAGATATTCTCTGTGCATTCATGAGTTAAAGATTTCAAATTCAATCTCTAGGTGCTCTTGGTTCTCACTTACGAACATGTGGGACATTTAGCGGGAAAACTGCTAACTCGGCAACCAGGAAAGCTGGAAGACTGAAATTTTAAGGGCATGCTTCCTGTCTACATACAAATTAAAGATTTCAAATTCAGTCACCAGGTACGTGGGGTGCCCACGTATGGACATGTGAAAGTTTTGGCGGGATAATTAGTAACTTGGGGACCAGAAAAGTTAGAAAGCTAAAATTTTAAGGAAGTGTTCCCTGTTCAAGTATCTATTCCAAATTCAGCCTTTAGATCTGAATGGTTTTCACGTACTGACACCTGAAAGTTTGGCGGGAAAATTGCTCATTGAACAGCTAGGTCATTCTCAAAGAACGACCGTTGAAAAAGAACTGTCCTTTTCTTTTATGCAAAATTTATGATGGTTTACGCTATTGAGCGCAAAAGATAGATGCACTAACCAATCACCCAATTAACGACCTGGGCACTTCAAGTCTGATACGAAAAGTATGATAGCACCTGCAAGTCTCGCGCATTCCATTCTGTATTCTTTCCTCCGCTCCAAAAAGGACGAGCGTACGAGCTGATTTTTAAATCTATTCTATTTAAAATCTAAGAAATCGCGTTGGACCCCCTGCGAAAATTTAGCTTTTCAGCTTCTTTAATGCTACCTAGGTAAGGAGGCATTAGGCTTGCCGCTGCAATCATGCGCTTTTGCATGATTTCATCCTGTAAAGTTGTCGCCTGTACTGTTGACAGTGGCTACGATATTAAAGTTTACGATGATCCCACATTTCGGCTACAGTTTTATCAGGCCCGTTGACCCTGGGCTGTAGAGCTCGAAGTGGTACCCACTTTGCAAGTAATGACTGTAAGGCTATACTGCTTAGACTCGCCTTTATCTTCTTTGCTTCACTGGTGTCATATCTTTTAACAATGAGATTTTCCCAGATTTTATGTTACCAATGAATCTGCTGGTTAAAGCGGCATTTTTTCACTTAATTAGCCACCATTTACGCATAACGAACATTTTTAAAATACTGTCTGATACTAGGGGCTTCAGTCTTGTATATTTCTTTGAGAAAATAATGAACATCCACTAAAATAATTGTAACTTTTTGCCTCCGATGTCACTGCAAAGTGAAAGGAGCAAAAGTCAAAAATTGCTGAAAACTCTACGAAATTCACACTGGAAAATGGGCTCATCATATTATGCAAATCAAAGCTTAATTTCAACCGGCTTTACATAGAAAAGTGCACACTTTCTAACTGCTGTATAAAGTATATAAAACTTTTGGGGCACTAACACTATCTTTTATGATGAGATGGATTCGCATCAGCGACTCCAGTTTGGGAAGCATTTAGTTAAAATTTTTTCCAAGAAGAAGAAAGTTTGCGAAAAATTTTGGTGGATTGGCAATTTTTTATAAATATCCACTCTTTTATATATATTCGCTTTCACTTTTTATTTGCAGCATCTGCACACAACTCATATTGTTGCGCGTGTTGCAAAATGTATGTATTGCGTATGTATGTGTGTGTCCGAGCGCGCTTTGTTCCGGGTTTCTAACACGGGAAAAACAAGAATTTAGAAGCTGGAACTTTAAAAGAACTTTCTTTGCCCAAACGCAGTCCTGCAGCTATTAAAAAAAACTTTTATTTACGCTTAGATTTTATGTATGAACGTGTGAAAGTTTTACCACAAAATTAATAACACAGGCGCCACTAAACTAGGAGGCTGAAATTTTGGGAGAATGGTTTCTCTGCGCATACGATCCAGCGAATTTAAATTCAGTTCACATGCACTCTTAGATCCTCGGTACGCACACGTGGAAGTTTGGCGACAAAACCACTAACTTGGGAACTATGAGGCTAGGAAGCTGAAGTTCTAATGTAATATTTCGAATCATGTGCGGCTCCAAAAAATTTTATTTCAACTTCCGCTCGTGTCTGTGCTTTATGTACGGAGATATAGGAGTTTTGGGAAGATTTCCTATGGCGGGAACGACAAGATGGAAAGATAAAGATTTAGTAGGACGGTCCATCTAAATGTACGACTTTGGAGCTTTAGTTTTTACATACGTTTGTGTCTCAAATTCGGATACATGAAATTTTGCGTAAGGAATTTTTAGTTCGAGAACAAAAAAAAGCAAAAATTGTTGAAGGGTGTTTTTTTTGTTTTTGTGTGAACCTCAAACTCAAATGCAGATCTCATGAATGCCCATATTTTACGCATCAAGACATGGAATCTCGTATTTCTGCACACGTCAAACTGCAAATCAGCGAATTATTTCGAATAATTTTTTTCCTAACAGCTACTACCAGATTAACAAAGCGCGAGAAAGCACCGTATATTCTGGTACGTAATGCTATTTGTTTCGAGCTTTACTGAGTCAGAAATAAACTGTGTGGGAGCGGAAGCATTCCTAAATAACTCAAGGGGTAGTACACATCATCAGTAACTAGTCACAGGCAAGCCTGTCGATAGTACTCTTTTTCGAAGATTGTTTATTAGAAATTTAGTGATTGTTTAATTCCCACGAATATATCATTACCAATTTGCCGTCGAAACAAATGAATTAATCATACGGGGTTTGGCTGTACAGCTGGCTAAATCGAACTCGTTTACCTTTACTACAGGAGGGACGCTACTTGCTACTACGTCATGCTCATAAATGAAGAATAAACTACGAGATATTTGAAATCCGCTGTCGAGAAGTAAAGGCAGTCCTGAATCGAAAACTTAGTATATCATAAAATTTAAATCTAGTCAAAGCGATGACTGGGCAGATTGTTGCAGTTCTATTGTTGCTCTACATTCAACATGCCGCATCAAGCCCATTGGTAATTCTTATGCCTTTTTGCATATTTATGTAAATGCAAAAACGGTTGTACTGTTTGTGTGTATGTGTGCTCGAATATTGTCGCTCGCTTTTAGCTCAGCAACCAAAGAGGCTAGTAAACTGAAACATTTGGATCATTTTTCCATCTATGTACGACTCTTCTAGTTTAATATCATCATTTGCGTATGCCTAAGGCGCCTAAAAAACCTTGTAATTTTTTTAGCAAAAAAGCAATTTTGGGAGTCAGAAAACTAGGAGACTGGAACTTCACCGGGATATTCTGTGTCTTTCATTGTTTGGACTAACGATTTCAAATTCAGCTTTAATACACGTTTAAACCATTCGTTCAGGCACCGGTATTGCAAAATCGTTGGCGAAGTGCCGATTCGGGAACTGTGCTGTTTACAGTGCCCTGACTTCACGAAAATATTTAATTTCTATGACAGAATAAGTAGGCATAAAATGAGCTTTAGAGTACGCCTGTGCCGCACCCTCGGACACACCAAAAATGCTTGCAACGAAGGGTGAGAGAGTTGGAATTTTTGCGAAAATATTCAATGCCAGTGTGCAATCAAAACATTTCAAATTTAGCCTTAAATTACACTCATGTCTTACGAACTTACAAGTAAAGTCCGGAACAGTGTTGCTATCTAATCAATTTGATAACCAAACTGAGCAGGAAGCGATATTTCTCTGAGAATGCCTACTATTCACGTTTGGGACATCAGATGTGAGATGAACTCCTGTCTAGGCGTAGGCCCCAGATGTTCAAACTGCAGTACCACGGTTAAAAATCCCATGTACAGGCGATTTCTCTATGAGTTAAT